ATTTCAAGTCATTTCAATTGGAGAGGACTCTGAACCCACTGATACACAGTAATAAAGCAATAATCTAAACACAAGGCGAATACTATATCTCTATATTCTGCTGTACTGGTGCTCACTGTCTCACCAGCTCATTCACTGGCCAAATCATACATAATAAAATCTGTTTTCCCTCTCAAAGTAATGACATTTCTTATTTTTTCTTTTCATTTTTGACCAAACTAGCTTAAAAAAAGAGTGTCCTATGTTAACTCCACATCTTACAGACTATTTCATTATACCTTTAATACATATATATATATTTCAGCCAATAGGACACCAGGAGGAAATATCTTTCCAATCACACACAAACAGGTTTATATCACTGAGACTGTATCTACGTTTAGTTGGAATCAGGTAGACCTTGTTTTTATAAAACTCGTAGAGTAAGTTTAGACAGTCGGTTTAAAACCTTCTGTCAAGTTTACACAGCTAAATTAATGATGCAACCATCTGTATTTCCTGCACACTTGTTCCTCTTTAACTGTGACACATTTAAATGACTTTAAACAGGAGTATCTGCACCCTTTCAGATTCTTATCATTCCTCTCTGGTAGTTTCCTTATCCCTCTACAGCCGAGTCATCCCTAAAAAAGACTCCAGATCTAATCTGTGACTATACCTGCTGAGCAGCTTCAAAGTTTCTGCTTTATCCTCAAACGCACTGTGCCGCTAACACACCAGACTGTAGATATCATCAGACACTTTTTCCAGAAATACGTGTTTTAGCAAGTTGTTTTCCTCATTTGTAACACAATTTGTGTTTGTGAGCTGACAAAAAACTTCCTACCTGTAATTTAATGTAATCTTACTAAGTCACTTATGCTACTCATGCTATTCAGCCTTAGTCATCTTTTGGATTAGAATTAGCATCACTCTGTTAAAACCTAGAAAAATAGATTTTTTAATAACCTGTTTATGCTCTGTTCAATTTTAAGATAGTTAAGAGTGTCTATCACCCTTTAGTTTATATTTGGAATGAAACATAAAATAAACGGGTGCTATAGATCCATCTAAATGGGAAAATTCTTTTTCATTATGTAAACAAAGAAAATCGTTTTACAAGTGATTATGTGAATGGATGTTTCAATAAAAGAAACAAAGTGATGAAAGTGTTAGTCATCATTCAGACTTTGCACTTGGGAAACACAAAAGTACCACATTTCCACATGTTTTGGTCAGGTTGCATCAGTTAGTCCTGCAGAGGCTCTGTAACCTTTGAGTCCGAGTGCACAAAAGACCAAATTTAGGAATATTTTTTTGGAGATTACACTCAATTTGAAGCAGAATAGTAGAATTAGCGTTTGTATTTGGACGTTTCCTCTCTGTCGGAGCGGACTGAGCATTATATGTGCAGGTTTAGCTGGCGGTAGCTAAGCCTCCGGAGCTCTGTGGGCTAGTGCACAGACATTTATGTGTCTGTGGGCTGGTGTGTGTCATCAGGAGGCGGCGGCAGGCAGAGGAGCGCCTCCGTTTCACTTCCAGGTGCCCTCCGCCGCGGTCCACTCACAATTCAACACGAACGGCTTTGGGCCTCATAAAGGCGCATGCGCACTGCGGCTGACCCCTCCGGTTTCTGCGTGCACTGCCACGTTAGTAGCGGTAGACACAAAACACCAGCTACTCTCCCAGCCCAGAGACGGGAAAAAACGGACCGGACACCGAGACGAAATTTCTGCCTCGAACCCGCCGCTGACCGCGCCCGCAACTTTAGTGTCACTGTGAGGAGAAAATCATCGACGGCGACTATGTTTAAGCTTTTGCTCTTGTGCACGCTGGCCGTGGCCAGCAGGGCTGAAATCTCCGAGGAGGAAGATGTCCTGGTGCTGAAGAAAAGTAACTTCGAAGAGGCTCTCCAGGCTCACCCCAACATGCTGGTTGAATTCTGTGAGTAAGGCGAGCTTGTTTGGGTCTCCGCGGCTAACTCTGGCTAGCTAGCTGGCGCTCGCGGCTGCAGAGCTAGCTAACTTAGACTGGTGGCGGTTAGCATCAAACTTTGACACTTGAGGCAAGTTGCTGCCGACAGCCGTTAAACGCAGCTCCGGGATCGGTTGTGCATCCGTGCGCGTTGCTCACCAACCTGTCCGCCGTCCCCACTTTTACCGAGACAAACATTAAATACCTGTGTTTTGTTTGTGCGGCTTCACGTTTAAAGAAAAAGGCACATTAGCATCCCAGGATGGCCAGGGATTTATTTATTTATTTATTACATTTTTATTTTTTATTACGGCACTTCTTAACTTTATTTGCTGTTTAAGAATATACTTTTTCTTCGTGTTCATAAAAAATTAAATTTTATTCCCTGTTTGGGATAACTTGGTTCGCGTGACGCTCTGGGAACCGCTGTGCGCGTGCATTGACGTTAAAAAACGTTGACCGTTGGCGTGAGTAAACGAAGTCTGACTAAAATCTGCTAAGTTTCGATTGTCTGCTGTGGTTTCGCAGGCAGACTTTCGCTTTTCCCGCTTCCCTCCGGACGCCTTTAAATCGCCACTAGTCTCAGCTTGAACTTGGATCTTATTATTGGCCCATTAACCGGATTATCGTCGGTGTTTGCACAGATTTGAACAGGCTAAATATTGGGAGCCCCCGGGTCCACCTCGCGCGCTGTGTGACACACGGTGGGTCCAGTTAGGAGCGGCCCGGAGCCGGGATGTCCAATGGGGGATTGGGAGGGGAGGGACCGGGGCGGGATCCAGGCGGAGGTGTGGGGCTAAGTTGACGTGTACTTTGCAAAAGTTTATCTGCGTTTGCTTTTAAATTGACTGGACTTGGACAAGGAAGTCTTAATTCATTGACGAGAAGTGGGGATGACGCAACCAGGGCTCATTTGCTCGACGTGTCACTCCTGATTGGGGTCAGATTGTGTGTCAGCCTTCAGAAAGTTCACTTGGAGGCCTTAAAGTGCACATTAAGATGTGACTGAACAAAATTAAAATTATTCTCTGGGTTTTTACCATTTTAACCCTGATCATCAGAATTCCCTTGAACATGAACTTCACTTGAGATAAGATTAGACACAAGCTTTACATTATTTTTTAGTAGCAATTAGCACAGATTGTGGCACTTTTTAAGATAAGTGTTCAAAAGTTTATCTTCCTTGGTGTTATGTTGTAAACTGAGTTGTATAATTACTTGGGGTCCCCTCTTTAGTTCCCTTCCTCTAATCTTTTTAAAAGTATGCTCTTTTAATCTATTTAAAGAGGTTAACTTTAGACATGGCGGCTCAGGCTATAAAATTACCTATTTTTTTATTTTGGTTGTTTTGGATGTTTTTTTGTCTTTGTTTTGTTTGTTTTTGCCAATAAGATGAGCTCAAAAGGCACAATCTTTTCCTTTTTATGAATGCATTTTATACCCATTTTGACTCACAACTCTTTATTGTTGTGTGAAGTCCTTTTTTCTTTTTTTAAATGCATCTTTGACTGACTATTTGCTGCGGCCCTAACCCGTCTGTGGCCCTCAGATGCACCGTGGTGCGGCCACTGCAAGGCCCTGGCTCCAGAGTACGCCAAGGCCGCCGGCATGCTGAAGGCGGAGGGCTCCGCGCTCCGCCTGGGGAAGGTCGACGCCACCGAGGAGACGGAGCTGTCCCAAGAGTACGGCGTGCGGGGGTACCCCACCATCAAGTTCTTCAAGGGTGGAGACAAAGAGTCTCCCAAAGAGTACTCAGGTGAGTAGTTCTGCTAGCCGGAGCTGGAAAGTGAACCGACTAGGGTTGTCAAAAGTATCAATACTAAAACGTTGTATCTGGATACGATACTCATTTTCAAAAGTATCAATACCACCCCCCTTTCTCTCTGATTTATTTATTTACGTTGTTTATGATAAATGAGGTTAGCCTTGAATTGTTAGCTGCGGCTAATGGCTAATAATAACAGGCCAACATTAATGAAGTCTACAGGAAGCCAAGGATGGAGATCCAACTCCCCCACATCCAATTCGGCCATTTTGATTAGGTCACCAATAGGAAGATCCCAGGCAAGAAAATCCTAATTGCTTCATGGCAATATAGACATTGATTTAAAAATAGTGAAATTAAACTCTGAACACTGAATTAAACTCTATCCATAACATTATGTTAAAATAGTGGATGTTAAATAGGTTTGTACAATAAGTCCAAACAAGTTTAACCCAAAAATATTTCTTTCTCACAATTAGGAAGGGTTAGGGTCATTAATGTGGGCCACCAGCCATTATACCATCAGTAACAGGTCAGTTTGAAACCAAAGACACTAACCTGTCAAAATTCAGTTACATTTTGGGGTCGTTGTTTTTATCCTTGTGGTATCGAAAATGGTATAGAATATTTTCCGGAGTATCGCTATCGAGTTGAAAGTTTTAGTATCGTGACAACCCTAGCACTGACGTGCTTTGTTGCTCTATTATGAAATGAGTCGTTTAACCCCGTTCATCATCCGTCTCCACTCCCCGGCTTTCTAAACGTGCTGTACCCCGTTTTGAAGCGGTAAAATAATGCTGACTCGCGTATTGAATAACTGAAAACTAGAAGGAACGTCACTACTTGACGCGGGGGAAACACGAGCTGTGCAGCAGCATGGGGGGAGCCAGCCAATGGGCTGAAGGGGGCGGGGCCTCCTCCACACATTCCCCTGGTGCTGACGCCCAGCCCAGAAAACATATGTGCATCTCCTCACGTCGCCCGGCTCCGTTTGGGCCAGAAGGGGAGACGAGGCTTGGAAGGGCTTTTGAGGAAATGACTAGTCTGAGATAAATCCAACCTTTTGAGGCTTCTGTGTCCCACACAGGGCCTGAGTTTAGAGCTCCAGTGGCTACTCTTTGTCCCACTAGTTAGTCTTCAGGCTTAAGTAACCTTTGAAGATGGGTTTTAAGTCTCTATGGCATGGTGTAGCCCTCAGGCAACAAAGCACATATCCAGACTTTTATCTTTATGTGGAGAAAGAAGAGGAGACATAAGAAATGTCCATTTTAGACGTTTGACCAGATGTTTCTTGAACTTCCGGGTTAAACATGCTGTGTGAAACTTGTTTCTTTGTCTAAATTAACTAGTTTTCATTGCACTTCTCAGGTTTTAAAATTACTATATGAGCTCCCAAAAAAGGGGGTGAGATTTTTTTCCCCAACAAATACAAAGTCATGCCACAGAGGGGTAATCAGCTCTACAGACTCTTTCTAACTTTTAAAAACTTTTTTCAGGCTCTTGTGTCCCACATAAAGCCTGAGTTTAGAGCTCCATATGGCTACTCTTTGTCCCACTCGTCTTCAAATTTAAGTGAACTTTTAAGAGGTTTTTTAATCGGCTCTGGAGACTCTGAAACTCTCTCTGAGACTCTTAAATGTTTTCTGGTGGTTCTTTGAAAGCGAATTCAAACGCGCATCAGCAGAAGCGGAAAAAGCAGTTGGCCACAAAATGCAGAAGTGTCCTTTTTCCATTTAAAAGGAGCTGAAACGTTCACACCAACATCTTCCGTTGGACCACCGAGACTCTGCACGTTCAGTGTTTCCTTCTAAGGGTTTAAACTTGACGTTCTTGACCCTTTGTGTTTGGGGGCAGCTGGCAGACAGGCCGATGACATCGTCAACTGGCTGAAGAAGCGCACGGGGCCGGCCGTCACCACGCTCACGGAGGTCACCGAGGCCGAGTCTCTGATCGCCGACAACGAAGTGGCAGTCATCGGCTTCTTCAAGGTTCGAGTCTAAAGAGTTTGATTCTGCTCCGTTTGTCTCTGTTAGGGACGTCCCGATCCAGCTTTTTTCCCTTTCCAATCCGATCCCGGCCTATCAGAGCATGTGTTGAAGTCTAAAGTTATTTATCTACTTACTTAGTTGGCATGTTGAACAGGGATTTACTCTGATAACAACTTAATGGTTAGGACACAGACCTGTGGGTTAGCAGATGCTAATGGTAACTCTAATGCTCGTGTGGGATCGGACTTAAAAAAACAACTGGATCTGGAGTCTGGATCCGCATTTTATCCTGATGGCCCATCCAGATATCGGATCGGGACCAGCCTAGTTAATTTGCCACCTAAACCCTTAAATTGTCTTCTCACCCCCCTCAAAACAAACGTAACGCTAAGGGGTTGAAATTCGACATCTGATCCAGTTATCGGATCGGGACCAGCCTAGTCTCTGTGGACCTTTAGCTGCGAGGCCTGTGTGTTTTTATACTTAAGTTTCTCATATTAAAGGCTTGTAACGTATCTAACGACTCACAATTAGCTTAGTATCATCTAAAAGTCTGTTTTTGTGTTTTCTCTTAATGGAGGACGCCGCATCTGCCGACGCCAAAGCCTACGAAAAGGCGGCCGAGGCCACAGACGACATCCCCTTCGCCGTGACCGCCAGCGACGCCATCTTCTCAAAGTTCGAGGTCTCCAAAGATGGCGTCGTCCTCTTCAAGAAGGTGACCCAGAGTTCTGTGGCGCCCACCCCAGTGGAGCACCTGTGGCCATCGGGGGTGGCAATGCTAGCTAAGGCCCGATTATATAAGTGGCTTCTGGGTCTCTTGCATAATTCGAGATATTTGGTCATCTGGACGCTCGTCCCCACTTATGAAACAAACACATGTTTAAGCGTTTAGGCCAGAGTTGCTGAAAACTCCCCGCAGGTTTTCTGATCGACGTCTTTTCAGGTAACATGATGCTGCAGACTGCTCCACTATTCAGGGCTAATCTTGGCCTGTCTGAGGTCACTTAATATTTTACACATTTGCTGACCTCTGAGCCAGCGTGTGGTCTTTCTGCCAAGTAGTTCATGTTGGCTAATCGCTGAGGGATGAATGGATTGAACAGATTTCTTCCTTTTTAAGCCCAAATGGACCTTTTTTTTCGTTTGATAAAGAGAGGTAGTCCAACACACCAGAGGTCATAGCAGGATTTGGGCTTAAACGGCTGACTTGAGACTGAATGGAGGTTTTTTTATCGTGAAGGTGGACCTCAGTAACTTGTAACCTCTCTGAGTGGGGTATGTAAGAGAGTAAGGGTTATTAAAGGGCATGAGCAATGGATTAATCAGGACTGAGGTTGAGTTTTCACATCATAGAAACTCTTTAGGTTTTTGCCGTTTAAAAAATATATATATATTTTTGGCCGGCTTATCTGACCAAATCTGATCAAAAGTTTGAATCTGTATAGATGTAACTTATTAATGTAGCCTGGTTTTGCTTAAGTTCACATGTTGATGTTCCACTTTTCCCCCTGACAGCATGTTTTTTCCTCATGCTGCTGAATACCGATGAGGAAAGGAGATCCTTGGCATGTTGAACTTGCTTTAGAAAAAAGGAAACAGAGTGCCTGCGTCCTGCTTATCAGCAGTTCGGTATCTCAGTTGGTTTGTTAAAGCGGGTTAAAGTCCAAAGTGTTGGTCAGACGAGGGCAGAAGCAGCGGTTTAACTGTGAGGGCTTTGTACCGTCGGACACCTCCTGGAGTCTGTTCTTCAAACGGGGGTTCAAGATGGCCGATGGTGATCGGTTTATGGGGGCCTTGTTACCCCAGTATGAAGCAGCTCTAAATATCTGGGTGGTCATGCGCGCTGACCCCCAGCTGCCATTTTTTTTTGGCCCCATTCAGGTGGTAACTTTCCTCTATCAGCACTGACATGTGGCAGCAAACCCACCCAAAGCAGAAGATGGGTTTTCATACACGGCACCTGGTGGGGGGGGGACTTGTTTATTGGTTGGAGGTTCAGTTTCAGGGCCCAGAAGGCTGTGGGCCTCCAGCCAAATGTCCACTCTATTGTGTGCCAGTAAGGGCTGCTTGGCAGATCTGCCCCCTGCTATTCCTGATGCCCAATGAAAGCCTGTCCGGCCTGTGGGGGGGGGGGGGGGTTAAGTGGCTGGTTCTGGTAAATTCGTGGGGCGTTCACAGGCAGACTCTTCGACATCTGGTGGATGTTTGTCTGAGTGTTTCTATGTTTCTCTGCAGTTCGACGAGGGCCGGAATACCTTCGATGGCGAGATGACCAAAGAAAGCATCCTGGCCTTCGTGAAGTCCAACCAGCTGCCCCTGGTCATCGAGTTCACTGAGCAGGTAACCGGCGGGGGGGTGGGGTGGAAATACTTCATACATTTGTTATACCACAAGGATAAAAACAAAGACTCCAAAATTTAACTTAATTTTGACAGGTCTTTTGTTTCAAACGTACCGATTACTGATGTTATCGAGGCCGGTGGCCCACATAAATGACCCTAACCCTTCATAATTATGAGAAATGAATATTTTTTTTGTCTAAACTTGTTTGGACTTATTGTACAAACCTATTTAACATCCACTATTTTAACATATTATGGATGGAGTTTAATTCAGTGTTTGCAAGATTAATTGAACTATTTTTAAATTAACGTCTATATTGCCATGAAGCAATTAGGATTTTCTTGCCTGGGATCTTCCTATTGGTGACATAATAAAAATGTCCGACTTGGATGTGGGCGGAGTTGGAAATCCATCCTTGGCTTCCTGCAGACTTGATTAATGTTGGCATGTTATTATTAGCCATTAGCCGCAGCTAGCAATTCAAGTCTAACGTCACGTTAATGATCATAAACAACGTAAATAAAAAAATGAGAGACAGGGAGGGGGGGGGGGGGGGGGGGTATCATTACTTTTGAAAATGAGTATCGTATCTGGATACGTTTTAGTATCGATGCTTTTTTGAGTATAAATACTTTTGACAACCCCAGCCTACGCACAAGTTGACCCTTTGTGTCTTTGCTTCTGCAGACCGCCCCAAAAATCTTCGGTGGAGAGATCAAGTCCCACATCCTGATGTTTCTGCCCAAAGCTGCCTCCGACTTCCAGGACAAAATGGACCAGTTTAAGAAAGCCGCGTCGGGATTCAAAGGTCAGGTAGGTCAACAGGAAATCCAACCGGACACTAAAGAAAAGGTCCCAGTCGTAGTTCTCCAGGCTCTCTGAGGGTCTCCCAGATTCCTGCTGCCCACAGCCAAAGAGGAGCTCCTGGGGGCTCACAGCAAAGGCTTTGTGAGCCAGAGAAGGATTTTTTTATTTTTTATTTAACCTTTTATTTAACCAGGAAGTCTCATTGAGATTCAGAATCTCTTTTTCAAGAGAGACCTGGCCCAGGTAGCAGCCAAACCACAGGAACGAAATACATATTTACAACATATTACATTTTTCATAATAAAATCAGAGCAGTGTGTTAAAACACATTGAGCATCTCAAAAAAAAAAAAACCTCCTCTGAGGAGGAGATGGCAGAGCTGTGGTCCTGAGCCCGTTTGACCTCCTCCCTCTCTGTCCAGATCCTCTTCATCTTCATCGACAGCGACGTGGACGACAACCAGCGAATCCTGGAGTTCTTCGGCCTGAAGAAAGAGGAGTGCCCCGCCGTCCGCCTCATCACCCTGGAGGACGAGATGACCAAGTACAGGCCGGAGAGCAAAGACATCACGGCCGAGAGCATCACCCAGTTCTGCACGCTGTTCGTGGAGGGAAAACTTAAGGTGAGGGGCCTGGTTTATCTCAGTCCTGAGATAGATTTAGTTAGACTTCCTTTATTGTCATTGCACAAAAAACACAAGGTGAATTTTGACAACGAAATGTCGATTACTTGGCTACCAGTGTTGCAGAGCTAAGACCTTATTCCTGCACAATAAATGTTTTCTATAACTAAGCGCAAACAGCTAGCTACAGTGGTCTGCAAAAGTTTGGGCAACCTTGTTAATTTCAATGATTTTCATTCATAAATCATTGGTTCTTAGGATAAAAAAAAAATCAGTTAAATATATCGTATAGGAGACAAAAACTGTGATATTTGAGAAGTGAAACGAAGTTTATACCATTTACAGGAAGTGTGCAATAATTGTGTTAACAAAATTAAGCATGTGCGTAAATTTGGGCACCACAATAAATAAAAAAAAACATTATTTAACTAACTTTTTTTAATCCTAAGCACCAATGATTTATGAAGGGAAATCATGGAAATTAACAAGTTTGCCCAAACTTTTGCAGACCACTGTATATACAGGGTAAAGAATTGTATATATACACATATATATTGAGTTTTTGCAAAGAAACATCAATAAATATGTGGAGGTGGAGGAGTGTTATGTGGCGTTAAGCAGTCTGATGGCCAGGGGGAAGAAACTGTTCAGTAGTCTGCAGACCCACAACAATTTAACACAACTGCCCCCCCCCCTCCTCCCACAGCCCCACCTCATGAGCCAGGACATCCCCGAAGACTGGGACAAAACCCCCGTCCGGGTGTTGGTGGGCAAGAACTTCGAAGAGGTCGCGTTTGATCCTACAAAGAACGTCTTTGTTGAATTCTGTAAGTGGCCTTTCTGCTCTTCACCCGTTTTTACTCCTTTAGGACTAAACTAAATCACATCCTGAGAGAGAGGGATGTTTCTAAGCCCCTTCTATGTTTGTGGTTAAGTTTGGTTGCTGGGGCTTCAAACGGTTTTTCTTCTGCCTGAAACTTGAATCGTGCTAAGCCCCCTCCAAATATCTAGGATCTCATTCTCCAGGCAGCTTGTAGCCTGCCAACCCCCCCCCACCCATTTTAAACTCTAAATTAATTTGCCACCAGTCACTAATGCTGCGAGGATCTCAGTAAATATAGCAGCAGGATTATTTCGGTGGCCGTCCGGGTTTAAATCGGGCTCCACTTTGGGAGGAATTTTCCATTTTTGGGGGGTGTCTGGGGGGCGGGGGGGGGGGGGGGGGGGCTTTCCCTGGCAGGTGGGAGCCGGTTCAGGGGGTTTGAACCCGGTTAAACTGAATGAGAGCGTCAGGCTGGAGGTCCTGCTAAGGGACGTCCCCATCCAGCTTTTTTCCCATCCGATCTGAGTTTGTGTTAAAGTTTAAAGTTATTTATCTACTTACTTGTCAGACTCATGTTGAACAGGGATTTACTCTGATAACAACTTAATGGTTAGGACACAGACCTGTGGGTTACAGACGCTAATGCTAACTCGTGTGGTATCGGACTTTTTTAAAAAAACAACTGAATTTTAAATTCTTTGGCTTTTTGATTCCATTCCCTCCTTGGACTCGTCAGCCTCTGTAAGAGTTGTGTTTTCCCCTGGAAAAGATGTGTCCCTGAAGGCAGCACAGGTTGCTGTACAGTCTCAGAGGAGGCTCTTCCTGTTCCACTTCCCAAATCAAAGATCTGGGTCCTGGATGTTCAGAACAAAACGGCTCAGGCCAAAGGCCCTGAACCCCGAGGCCGAGAATTTTTGGGGGTTTTACGCTCAGGAATGTCACCAGATTTTTGCGTTTAAGAGGG